GTCACCCATATTCCTCCTACCAACCCGCACAATCGAGTCATGAATTTTATGAATCCCGGGCCTTTTTCGGTGATTTGTACGGAGATTGGTTCTATGTCGTACTTAAAGAATATTCCTGTCGTTGAAGTACGCGTGCAAAGGGAAAATTCCGTTTTTATTCACGCATTATCATAGTAAATCTTGTGAATCAGGGCGTACCTGGGATCCCAAATTGACCTTTCGAGACTTCGTATGACTTAGAATATTCTGTAACCGAGTATTGGCTTGTCAACAGTACTCTTTTATTGTTGTCTATGTAAGTGGTAGGGACCTGTAATTGCAAGTAATGTGATGAGACGAATTCAACAAAAAAAAAATCATTGATTTGCTCAATAACCAGTTGACCGAGTTTTTGGTCCATTAATAAAAAATCCAACTTACAACCGACAAGAAATATTTAAAAGTTTCCATGTCTTTATTAAGAAGGAGAAAATAGGATGTCAATTAAATTAATTGTTGAAATAAAAAAGATTATTGCTAAAATATTGGCTCAAGCATACTTGTTTCAGATATCTCGATGCTATTATCCAGCGGATTCACAAGACTCGGGTAAAATGTACCAAATGAGAATTCATCAATTCGATGGGTGAAATTTAATGCTGTTTGTTGACATGAACAAAATTAGCGAGAGCATCAAAACATCGAATACTAGGAAGTCAATTGCATACCGTGAAGATTTTGGAGAGAATATCCACCGTATCCAAGGCCAATCGCTGTAATGTGCAAATTCCCTGTGACCTTGTTCACGTCAAAATATCCAAAGACCCTGCATGCACTCAACCCACTATCTGCATGATGTCAAAAATGTTTACTATTTATTATTATCATATCAAAGAATCTGGAAAAATTGGAGAATGAAAAAAGACAAGTGTGATCTACCATTGGAGTTATCGTTGGAGTTAGAAAAAGTCGCTTTTGATTTGGCCTCAACTAACATCTTCCAAATATCTGGTCGAATATCAACTGTTTCATCTCTGTGCTTGCAAAATTTGAAACCGGCAGATCAGTATCGAATCGATTCTGAAACCTAGTTTAAAAAACATCCGAGGTTACCCTAGACGGTGTGCCGATCCAACTTTAAAGACTGTCTAAACGGGAAAAGTAAACAAAAGAAGATGGGTAAAGAAAAAAATGAAGAAATTTCGATTGCAATGAAAAAATCAAATTACCGGAACGACTTTTAATTTATCGGTCACATGAATTCTTTCCCCGGCCACGTCAACCACATCCACCGTTATAACTGTTAAGATTACAATGAAGACAATGCAATTCGATGGGAGAGAAATTGAAGAAAAAAAAACAAGGTCGTACTCACGATTACACGGGGTATTTACAGTGATGTCGACGTTAATTTGTAATTGATGATATATATTCTGGTCCACAGAGAATTGATACTTTTGATTCAAATTCAAATACTCCCGAAATTCACTGATTATCAAGAACCATAACAATATTGACACAACTATTGTTATGAACCCACCTTGTGGGCTTTTATCCTGATAACCCGCATCGACTTTTGGGAACGCGTCAAAAACAACGGCTTTTTTCAATATCCTTGATATCATCATATTGAACAAGGGTGGGTGGGACAGGAGGAAAAGAGATTGGTTTGAATGTTTCACCAATCAAATACCAACCGTAATTTTTTTTTTATATTACCCAAATGTATATTTGAATTCATCGATACTGCCGCGTGCTGCAGAAACTTGCTAACATCTTGCATGACCGACAAATGTCGTTACCCACGTTTGGTAATTTACTGTAGCACCAAATTAACATCGAATTTGGTACCACCTATCAGGAAAGAATAAATCATTCTAATTAAATTATGTAGTCATTGCATACACTACTACAATTACCCTCTCCACTGTATGGTCTCT